CTAATTCCTTCAAATTTCTCACTTTCTATGTCTTCTCGTAAAATAAAATAAAAATAAATCCATAGTAAAAACTCTATACTTTTGTGTTTTCTTTTTCTTCTTCTTCTTACCCTAATAGAAATTTTAAATATATACATATGGATAGTAGTAGTGATAGAATTAGGATGTACAAGAGGTTATGGGGCTCAATTGTATTGTTAGGAGTTGTTTGGTTATTGTTGGTTAGTGTCTTGGAGAATAGAGGAACAAAGATGTTGAAGAAGCAAAGGCCAAATATTATTCATTCAAAGATGAAACTCAACTTCATGAGTATTAAAAGAAGAGTTCCTAATGGCCCTGACCCTATCCATAACAGGTATAACAATGTTTTAATTATATATGCCTTTAATTTAATTTAATTTTTTTTTTGTTGTTGTAATTTTTCACTTCTAGAAACACGTGTATCCGATGAAATTGGTGAAAAATATTCCCATCGAAAATTATTATTATTGAACTTTCATCATGCTACTGTTGTCATTCTCACGTGGGCGTCTGTGGAAAATCAGCTTATTCTAGTAGTGATCATGTTTTGTTACGTTCCTCCCGATTATTCTCTATTCCATAATTTAATGTTTTGGCTTATTCATTGAGAAAAATATTTAATTCTATCAATTATAAATTATATTTAACTAAATTATTCTTATCATTTTCTTAAATGACTATATTCATGAAGGTAATTATGTCAACAAAATACTCTTTAACACCTAATGATTGTCTCAACAAATTAAAATGGACGTGAGCCAATTTAATTAAACAATTTTATATTTCAAGGTATAACTTTTCTCTCTTATTCCTTTGTACTAGCTTTGATTCTTTCTTCTTTCTTTTCCTTCTCCTAGTTACATGTATTCCTTGAATTTATTTTTTTATATTAAATATTCTAATATTAAAAGAAAAGAAAAGGTCCACTTTCTATGTGCATTTATTTAATGGTGATAACTATCTCATTTAAAAATTTAAATAATTAAAAAAATCAAATAATATTATATTTTTATCTACTACATTTTATTTTCAAGATGTACTTTTATATGAGAGCCTGATTTTTTCTTAATGGATTAAGCACACAATGATTTTAAAAAAAAATGATATTGTACTGGTGGTAGTGAGACTTGTACGCAAACTCTCTTTTAATTGTGTGTTCATTTCATTTAAAATTTTCAAATCAAATAGTATATATTTTAATTAACTTAATTATATATTTCAATTAATTACTTCGTTCACTGTAGTCTAATTAACTTATTTTTATGTTTCTCTATAACAGAAGAGCGGGAAATTCTCATCAACCACATGGTCAAGTTTCAAAAGGAGAATTTGGCAAGCCATGAATAAATAAATAAATAAAATTAAATTTCCTATCTTGTATATGTAATTTATTGAAAATGGGATTGTCAATATATATTGTGAGAGATGAAATTTCAGATTAAACCCCAGCTTAATTTAATTTGTTAGTTATTTTTACTGCAAAAGTTTAGAATCTTTGGAGGTGGAATGGAAAGATATTAATAATGAATTTGTCTAACACAAGGAAATTCTTATAAAAAAAAAGAAGAAGAGATCAGTCATTATATTGGGTAGAGAATCCCAAATAAATATCTCCCCCCACCCCCACCCCAAAAAAAAAAAACCAAGGGACAAAAATATTATATGGTGTTAGTATATGATTACGAATAAATTCAAAATTCAAAATTTATGTGTTATTTCTTTTTATATATGTCATATCATATATTGTAGATTTATGTATAGGTTTCGATCAAAATTACTTTTGCTGTTAATATGTATCTAATGTTTTGGTGGGAAAGATGGACAGACATAACTTTTGCATAGTGTGGAGGAAATTAAAAAGAAGAACAAACTATAAGCTTTTTTATGCATTGATTTATGTCCTAGTAAACATGAATTAATATAATTTTAGTGAACTTATTTAATTACAAATAAGCTTACACAAAACATAGTACTTTGAAATTTATAATTTAATCTGTCATAGTAATTACATTTAATGTCTAATTTTTTTTTAAATTTAGAATCTTAAATATGTTATAACATTATATTTGTGTGTGACTACAATAAATTGTCATTAAGTGTAAAATAGATAGTTAAGTTAAATTATTTTTAAATTTAGAAGAAAAAAAGGATAATTTTTCAGGGAGTATAGTAGAAGCTTTGGCTTGTGAAACAAAGGTAGTTTTATTCTCTAATTATTGGTTGTTTTGCTTATGAAATGGCATGTGTTCTGAAACAAAAGCAAATCCACCATTAAAAAGTGTTAAAAATGCAAAGGGAAAAGGTAGGGATTGCCTCTATGTGTTAGTCCTTTTCATAAGATTCTTTGTTTTTGTGACAACTTTTTTGGCCTTTTGTCCATTCAAACTTTGTTCTAAAATCAAGAAGAGAGATTCTCTATTTTCTAGCATGGCAATCCAAATCTTGAAAGAACTAAGTTTGGTGCAAAAATACTTGTAATTATAATTTAGAATAACATGCTATAATCAGTTAAATTATACTGATAGTATAAAAAACTGAGATGAACTCTAATTCATTTGATGTTGGCAAGAAGCAATTTCTTTAGTATTTAAGATATATATCAACAATATAAATATTTAAAATTTGGTGAATGAAATAGCAAGTTACTTAACTTTGTACTGAATTGTCAATTAATGCTTATCATATTTTATAGTAATTTATTATAAGAAGTAAATTTCTCTTTTACATCTCTAATACATAGAACTTAAACTCATATATACTTTAAGTTACATATTAAACTTAAATCCATTTTAGAAAGGAGAATTAAGGCTGGCAAGTTATCAAAATAAGGATGGTACTCTCTTGAAAGAAGTTCAAAGTGAAAGACAAAGTAGGCCCTGTATTATGCTTTTCCTAGCTTTATCCTTTATCATTTATCGGATTTAGAAGCAAATTAAAGACTTGGTCTAAAGTTTTGAAGATTCAAATAGGGATAATTTAATTGCCTAAAAGGAAAAAGAAAGAATCAGATGGGATATATCTACAATATTATAAGAGATATACATTGATATATATATCTCTAAAATTTTGGCACAATTTTTATATGAAAAAATTACACAACAAAGCATACATGTGCTACTTATTTATGGAATACAATTGTAGTTTTAAGAATTACAATGAACCACTGTATGTTTTTTTTAACAGTAAATCTCATGTTTATACTTAACCTCCTAAAATGAAGTCAAATTTCACTCCCCCTCAACCCCCCTCTCTCTCTCATCCTTCCCGCATCTCTCTACTTTTTCTTTTTTTTTAAATAAAAAATTCTCCAAAAATCAATTTTCATTCTTAATTCGAATCTCCAAAAAATTCAGTGTAACGACCTCCAGGTCATTTTTATGTTTATGCCTCATGTTCATCATTTAGATCTTTCTTGTAACGACTCCAAGTCATGTATGACTTGATGGGACTGACAGTTCGGTCACTTGGTCGTTCGTCTAGTTTTTATGCGAGTTTTAGTGTTTTGAGAGCTTTTGAATCTTGAACGGTCATTTTTATCAGAAGTTCAGGAAGACGGCCTCAAAATGCAATTCTAACAGTTTCATCAGCCTCAAAAGGGCCATTTTAGGCTAGGGGCATAGTTGGTTTGTGCCGTTAGGCATTTTAACTTTGAAGCTTAAGCTAAGGGTTGACTTTGGTCAACATTCTTGGTAAACATGCTCGAATGAGAATTCCGTTAGCGCGGTTAGATCCGAAATGTCGAGCTTGGTCTAGAACAACCTTTCTTGTGGTTCCTTAGGCTTACAATCTCATTTTCAGTCTTCTTGTGGTTTTTAGCTTAAAATGGAAATTGGGTGTGGGACCCAATTTTTATCAAAAATAACCTCGAATGGAAGTTTTGATTGTTCCGTTGAGTCAGGAATGCTGAATTCGATAGGGTAGCATATTTTGTTTGTGCGCACGATGTTTTAAACAAATCCCGGACATCCCATCGGAGAATTTAGAGTTTGAGCAAATCAATTGATATATGGTGCAAACTTTTAGCGAACAAATATCAGCCTTTTAGCGACCAGTTTCAGGTATTTATACCCAGAAACTTCAACTTTCACCCTCAATACAAGGCGATTTCTACCTCATTCGAGCTTGAATTTTGGTGATTCGAAGTCCCACATGATCTTAATTGTCGGGGCTACATGGTGGAGTGATTGGATTGTGTCGGTGACATTTCGTTCGAGGTAATTTTGGTGTAATAGTTGCTGCCCCTTTTCCTTTTATTTTTGTTTTTGTGGTGTTTTGTTGTTTCTGTTGTTTTGGGCATGAATTATGTCCTATTTTGGGACACAAGTTCAAGATATAGCTTAGGACCTTTTGACAGAGTCAATTTCAGAAATTCTGGTGCGGGTCCCACGATTCTCATTTGACTCTAAAAATTGGTTTGTCTCTATTTTGGGTGATTTCAGTGTCTAAACGATCGTATTGACGTTGAGATCCTATTTTTGATCATGTTACATCGTTCAGAAGGGAAAAGCTCTGACCTTGTGATTTGGAGAAAGCGTAATCAGTATACAGGTAGGCTACGACTTCCTTTCTAATTAAACTGAGCAAGAATGTGTAAATTTGTGATGAATAGTATGAATAGGGGGTGGGTACCTAGTTATTTCTGCTTTTATTCTTAGAAACCATGATTTAGGGTTGATTACCACTGTTTCGAGGGTAGTACCATACTGAAAGAGGATTGTATGTGTGTTGTAGCATGCTATGTGATTTACTTGGTTGATTACTTGTTTTTGGAGCATGTTTTGGCCTTATTCTAGGATAGACTAGTGTTACCTTAGAACTATGCACCTTGTGACTATGATATGTCTCTAACGTCATTTCAGATGGACTAGGTCTTTGTAAATTTGAATAGAAGACTTGGGTTTGATTGAATGAGCCTTAGTTTAGGTGATTATGTAGCTTGTTGGCCCTTTCTATCTCCTCTCCCTATTTCTATTGCTCTGATGCATTATTGGAGATTCTCTGGTTTCTCGGGATTGCAGTGCTACCGTCTTGGAGCCTTTTATGATATCATTGAGGGTGGACGTCGATCCATGGTGGCTTTGAGCCTACTTGAGATCCTATTTAGAGTTGATACGCCTTCGGACAGTCTTGCTAGGTGAGCGGTTGCCGCCACTAGGAGTGAGATGGATGGGTAGCCTAGATATTTGATATCCTCGACGGAGTTGACATGCCTCCAAGGTACTCTTGCTAGTAGGGCGGTTAACGCCCCTAGAAGTGGATTGTTTGGCTAGACAACCTAGGTTTCTTATCACTCTTGTTAGCTGGGCTGGAAGTTAACTGGCTAGGTTGATTGTCACTCTTGCTAGCTGGGCTGGGAGTTGACTGGATCTTGGTTACTTGGGCTGGGAGCTCGACTGATGTTCTTGGATTCGGATCTAGATTATTCTTTTTCTGTAGACTTAGCTATTCTATGTACTTAGTCTAATGGGGGCCAATTCGGGTTTATTTAAACTTGTGCATGAGTTTACCTTCTGAGCTTATGGGTCATGTTAAGTTTAGTTTAGCTATACTTAGAATTACTTTCGGTACGCTCATGTGCTTCTTTTCATATCCGCTTTGACCTCTATTTTTGTCTAAATTCTATCTTTTTAGATTGTTTTAACCTTTCTTGCTCGATCGGCCTATGATGCCTACTGAGTACATTTATTTTTTGTACTTATGCTACAATCTGCATCATTTCGTGAAGCAGGACCTAGTACCAACTACTAGTGGTGGTAATTGTTCGTACCATCTTTTGTAGCTTGTAGATAAGAGTGAGCACTTGACGTCCAGGACCAACCTGTCTGCTTCTGTACTTATGTTAACTTTTCTTTTGCCTTTGAAACAACTTGTTGTGGTCTAATTTTGGGACTTGTATTTATCTTGTTAGGCAGCTCTGTACTAATGACTTTCAGGTTTTGGGAGGATTCCTTTGAATAGAGTTTTCGGTTCACTTCCCATTTTTGTATTTGCTTACTAATTAAAATTATTTTCTGTTTAGTCATGCCCTTGTACTCACTACTTCTTGTTCAGGGTATGAGTCGACTTACCTACTGGTGGGCTTTAGTAGGTCCCATCATGACTCGAGAAGTTGGGTCGTGACAAATTAGTATCAGAGCTCCAGGTTCACCAGTCTTACTTGTACAGAGCTAATATCTACTAGAATCCTACGAATTGGTGTGGAGACGTCTGTGTCCTATCTTTGGGAGGCAACAAGGTGTTTTTAGGAACCCCCTTCTTTTTGTATCACTTTTGTGCAATGTGTGTGTTATTGGTTTTTTGGAATCTCACTTGTTTCACTTTTTCGCAGAATGACTCATACGTGGCAGCTAGGGTTAGGGGTTGACCTCCCTTCCTTGGTAGGGGTGCAACACCACCCCCAAATAGAGAGTAGGTCCTGAGTCAATATCGGATCCTCCAGCAGCCCATGTTCTAGAGCAGCCGGTGGGGCCTGGACCAGCTCCGCCACCACCCGGACTGGCTGTGTCAGCAGATCTTCAGCTAGCTATTGCGCAACTTTTGACAGCTCTTGGGGGAATGAAGCAAGCCCCAGCTGCAATACTAGCACCTGCACCTGTGCCAGTACCGACACCTAAACTTGCGGTAGTACTGACACCTATACTTGCACCAGAATCGACACCTGCACCAGCACCAAATTAGAAGGATTAGCCTATCTGTAAAGGCACCCAGGGCCTAGGTACCATCTGGGTTGCCTAGCCTATGATTGCAGCTAGTGCTATGCCGTTAGAGGAGCAGAAGATGCTTGGAGTGTTCTTGATGCTTTCACATCCGAGGTTTTCTGAGGCTGTGGGTGAGGATTCCCAAAAGTTTCTAACTACTTTCCGTGAACGACTGCATACCTTGGGTCTTGTGGGGTCTAGAGGAACCAACTTCACTACGTATCAACTTGATGGGCTATCTAGACAGTGGTATTGTACATTAATTAAGACTAGGCTAGTTGGGTCTCCTCCGATCACATGGATTGAGTTTTTTTAGGCCTTCTTGGACAGGTCCATCCTCGCAGCGTCAGAGATTACCTCAATGATCTGTTTTCCTGATTGGAGCAGGGTTCTATGACAATGTCTGAGTATGAGGTGATATATTATGAGCTCTTTCGCCATGATACAATGATTCTACCTACTGAGGATGAGAGGGTTCAGTGCCTTGTTCATAGGTTGAGACTGTAGATGCGGATTGAGGCTCAGTCTATGATCTTAGTTGGGCTCTCCTTTTAGGATGTTTTTTATATCATGCCTGCACTATTGAGAAGCTCTGTTGTGAGGAATAAAGAGGCAGCGACAAGAGAACTAGATATGATAGTAGCTATAATGGGCCCCATTCCAAGCCCAGAGATTCACATGATAGGGCTCGATCGTAGTTTCAGCAGGGTCAGCCTAGTCGGCCTATTCAGGCCTCATTGCAGAGTTTAGAGGGTGACCGATATAGCTGTAGTGAGGTTGAATATAATCAGAATCATGGGTACCAGACTAGTACTTCAGGCTATGGTGGTCGTTCTTGAGGGAGCACATCATCTTCAAGTTGTTTTGACTATGGGTGTTAGTTCACTAGGCCAGAGATTGCCCTTTGCGTAGACGAATTGCTCCAGTCGCACAATCAGTTCTACCAGCTCCATCTGCCGCACCTCAAGCTAGAGGTCGAGGTCAGGGTCAGAACCATTGCAGTGGACAATAGGGTATTCGGGGTGGTCCCCAGGGAGGCAGGTCAGGTGGTAGGTCTGATGGACTGGGCAGAGGCAGACATGTCCATTTCTATACAGCTTCAGCGAGGATGGAGGCTGAGGCATCAAACGATGTGATCACATGTACAATTCTTTTATTCCATAAGCCCGCCTCAACTTTATTTGATCTAGGCTCTACCTATTTCTATGTGTCTGTGTATTATGCTTCTCGTATGGGTATAAGTTGAAAGGTTATGGCAGTGCCATTGCGTGTGTTGACCCTCGTGGGTGAGTCTTTAGTAGTGGATGATGTGTTTTAATCTTTCTTACTTACTATCCTGGGGCGTGACACCTGGACTGACCTTATATTGTTAGATATGCTTGATTTTGATGTGATTCTTGGCATGGACCGACTATCCCTCTATTGCACAGTTTTAGATTGTTTCTCTAAGACTGTTACCTTAGCCATGCCTGTTATTCCACCGGTGGTGTGGATGGGCTCCATTAGTGGCACACCAGTTGGAGTTATCTCTTTTGTTCAGGCTCAGAGGCTAGTGGCTAGCGGGTGTTTGTCTTATTTGGCCTATGTACATGATGTGAGTCGGGAGGTCCCTTCAAATGAGTCCATTCCAGTCGTTCGTGGTTTTATAGATGTGTTTCCTACTAACCTACTGACCTACCCCCAGAACATGATATTGACTTTGTTATCGAGCTTGAGCTGATTACTCGACCTATTTCTCTTCCACCATATTGGATGGCTCCCACAGAGCTCAACGAGCTTAGTGTTCGAATTTAAGATCTATTGGGTAAGGGATTCATCAGGCCTAGTGTGTCTCCTTGGGGCACTTCTGCTCTATTTGTAAAGATGAAGGATGGCATGATGTGCATGTGTATTGATTATAGGCAGTTGAATAAGGTGACAGTGAAGAACCGTTACCCCATGCCTAGGATTGATTATCTATTTGACCAGCTTCAGGGTGCCACAGTGTATTCAAAAATTGATTTGAGGTCTGGTTATCATCAGCTAAGGATTAAGGTAGTGGACATCCCTTTGACCGCATTTAGGATTAAATATGGCCACTATGAGTTCCTAGTAATGTCTTTTGGGTTGACTAATGCCCCTGCCGCCATCATAAACTTGATCGTGGGTGTTCAGATCGTATCTTGATTTATTCTTAATTGTGTTCATAGATGACATTCTTGTATACTCACGGAGAAGGAGTGATCATGAGCAGGATCTGAGGATTGTGCTCAAGACTTTCAGAGATCAACGTCTTTATGCCAAGTTCTCAAAGTTTGAGTTTTGGTTAGAATCTGTAGCATTCTTGGGGAACGTGGTCTCCAAGCATAGCATCATGGTAGATCAAATGAAGATTAAGGCTAATCGTTGTTAGGCTAGGCCCACTTCAGTGGTTGATGTTTGGAACTTGGTCGATTTGGTAGGCTACTAAATGCGGTTTGTGGAGGGATTCTCCACCATTGCAGCACCTCTAACCCAGTTGAGGGCGAGGGCTTCTTAGTTTATTGTGATGCATCCGACATTGGTTTGGGTTGTATATTGATGCAGCGGGGATAGGTTATTGCTTATGCATTGAGGCAGCTTAGGCTAGATGAGCGCAACTACCCCACTTGTGACTTGGAGTTGGCGGCAACACATTTTGCACTTAAGAGCTGAAGGCACTATCGGTACGTTGTTAGTTTAAAGATCTATACTGATCACATGAGCCTTTAGTATATTATAGATAGTTGAAGACCAATGAGAACAACTACCATACCTATGATCTTGAATTAACAGCTGTGGTATTTATGCTTAAGTTATGACAACATTATCTTTATGGGGTTCATTGTGAGGTCTTCACTGACCATCTAAGTGTTCAATATATCTTCAATTAGAGGGATCTAAACTTAAGGCAGCATAAATGGTTGGAGCTACTGAAGGACTACGATATCACTATCTTTTATCATCTTGGATAGCCAATGTAGTGGTTGATGATTTTAGTAAGAGGACTTTTAGTATGGGAAGTCTTGCGTCTATCAGTATTGAGGAGAGATCATTGGCTAGAGATGTTCAGAGGTTAGCCAACAATCTTGTTTGATTACATATTTCTTAGGAGACGAATGGTTTGATTGAAGCCCGTTCTTCCTTAATTGAGATGATTGGAGAGCATTGGTTTGATAATGTGAAATTGTCTCTCATTCGAGAAAAAAATGTTGAGAGGGGAAGCCTATGAGGCTGTCCTTGATCCGGATGGTGTTTTGAGGATTGAAGGCAGGATTTGTGTGCCCAAGACGAGCGAGTTGCCTAGATTGATTCTTGAGGAGGCCTATTGTTTTTGATATTCTATTCATCTAGGAGCAGTGAAGATTTATCATGATTTGAGCCAACATTATTAATGGTGTGGCATGAAGAAGGATATTACAGACTTTGTTTCTAGGTGTTTGATTTTCCAATAGGTCAAGTGTGAGCACCAGCGGCTTGGAGGTTTATCTCAGAGGATACTTATTCCTACTTGGAAGTGGGAACAAACCACTATAGATTTTTTGTGGGTTTGCCTACCACAATGGGTGGTTATGGCTCTATTTGGGTTGTTGTTTATAGGTTGACCAAGCATACCCATTTCATCCCAGACTGATAGACAAATGGCCAGTTCAAGCAGATGATTCAGGTGTTGGAGGATATGCTCTGTGCCCGTGTGAGAGATTTTGGTTCTAGATGGGATCAACGTTTTCCTTTGCAAAGTTTTCCTATAACAATAATATTTATTCCAGTATTCAGATGGCCCTTTTTGAGAAGTTGTATGGCAGACAATGTAGTTCTCTGATTGGTTGGTTTGACTCAGCCGAGATGGACTCTCTGGATACAAACTTGCATACAGATGCTATAGAGCAGGTCCGTATAATTCAGGATAGACTATTGACAACCCAAAGTTGAAAGAAGAGCTACTCAGACTGGAGGGTCTGAGCCCTTATGTTTCTAGAGGGTGATCATATTTGGCTTCGATTGTCACCCATGAAGGGTATGATGAGGTTTGGAAAAAAAGACAAGCTTAGCCCTAGATTCATTGAACCCTTTAAGATTTTTAGTCGAGTGGGAGCGGTGGCGTATACGTTGGCCTTGTCACCTAACTTCTTAGTTGTTCATCCTCTGTTTCATGTCTCTATGCTTCAGAAGTACGTGTCGGATGAGTCCTATGTGTCTTCTCTTGATACAGTTTAGTTGGGTCCAGACTTATCTTCTGAGGAAGAGCCTATATCCATTTTTTATAGGTAGGTTTAAAAGCTTAGGATCAAGCAGATTGCTTCAGTGAGGTGTAGTGGAAGCACCGTTTAGTTGGTGAGGCGACTTGGGAGACAAAGTCTAATTTGCGTGCCAAATATCCTCATCTCTTCGAGACTTCAGGTACTTTCTTTAACTTTATGTTCGAGGATGAACATGATTTTTAGTGGTGGATAATGTAATGATCCAATTGGTCATTTTTGGTATTTTCGTGAAATTAAACATTTTCCTCACTTGACTTTTGGCATGAGTTATTCTTGATTGAGCTTTGGAAGTTTGTTCCAAACATTGTGTAAAAATTTGAGACTTTGGCAAATTTTGAGTTTGATAGTGGGAAATGGTTCTTGCTAGTGATTTGGTATAAAGACAATGGGAAATGGTTCCGGCTAGTGATTTGATATAAAGACGATAAGAAATTGTTTTGGTTAGTGATATTATGTCGATGGGAAATGGTTCCAGTGAGAGATTTAGTAATGTGATTTAATGCATTTTTATGCTTATGTGTGACTTACTTGGTAATTGTGATTGATGCACTTGTTACGTGTGATTGATCTACTTGACATTAAGATTGACTTACTTGATGCGTGTTGAATTGTGACCATTGAGTTTTGTGATTTGTTTATTATAGAACTGTTAGGTTTGGCTAATTTCTATGCAGGATGTAGTTTGAGGAGGTTTGGTTGGCATTAAAGGAGTATTCAATTTCTAGCTAGGTTTCTTCGTTTATTAGGGTACTTTCTGGGTACCGTGTTGTTGGTACTCACTCTTTCCTTATACACTTGTGTAGGTTCCGAGCCAGGTACTGTATGATCGTCCTTTTTCTACTACTTTTTGAGGCTTGTCAAAAGATTATTGAGAGATAGCTGCTTGTCATCCCGCCACACCCTCTTTTTCGTTTTCTTTATGCTTTGTTCTATTTGAGAAATAAAAGGCTAAGACATGTGCTTATTTCTTAATTCCGCACTTTATGTATTAGTGGCTTATACACGTGACAAATCAGGTTTTGGGATGTTACTAAAATGAATAAGTTTTCCATTTTTATCTTGTTCTTGCTTTATCTTTATTTTTTGGATTTCTTTTGTTTCGTGGGGTTGAGGCTGACTTGTCTTTGTGGTAATAGACAACTGCTATCACGTCCATTTGTAGGTTGTGAAAAATTGTATTTGAGCCCATCTTCATAGATCTCTTATCTGAACAAGCCAAATCTAAGTAAATTCTTGAGGATTGATACGGAGACGTATGTACTTATCTTTGAGAGCCTACGAATACTGTTAAGAAACTTCCTTTCGTTTATTCTTTCTCTTTATCTGTGGTTACCTTCGCTAGTGATGAGTTGTCGCGTGTTTCTTTGGTAGATGCCGAGGACCAGAGCTTCTGTTTTAAGTGGTAGAGGGGAGGTAGTCCCCAAGGTTGTTGTTGAGACCCTTGCTAGGGGGTTGAGATAGGGCCCGAACTAGAAGTCGTGCTCGCAGAGTAGCATCGATTAGAGGTCGTGCCCTGGAGCGGCACTAGCCAGAGGCAAAGCTAGAGAGTTTAATTTTGATCCACATGTTGAGGTTGTTGATGACCAGGTTCCTCACGAATTTGGAGAACCTTTGTTTCATGAGACTTTCTTAATAATGCTAGGTATTTTAGAAAACTTCTCTCAGGGTAGTTCAAGAGGTACACCACCCAATTCTTAGACAAGGGTAGGGGCTCAGACCCCAGGTCAGCACCATTAGGCTCCGGTTAATCATGATCATGTGGATCAGCCACCACTGGTTCCTACACTGGTTGTTGGTGCATAGATTGCTCCCGTGTTTATTTTGACAACGCCTGATAAATAATGTTTTGAGAGGTTTTATAATATGAAACCACCCAAATTTCAGGGTGGCACCAGTGAGGATGCTCATGAGTTCGTGACTTTGTGCCATAAGATGCTTGAGTCAGTGCGTATGGTGGATGATCATGGTGTAGATTTGTCGTACTTCAGCTTTGTGGAAGCGCCATAGAGTGGTGGAGGACTTTTGTGAGTTTTAGACCAGTTGGATCGCCTCTTGATAAGTGAGATGTGTTCTCTAGTGCTTTCTCGGACCGTTTAATTCCTTGGAGCGTGAGAGAGGAGAGTCGATTGAGGTTTGAGAGCTTCACTTAAGGGAGTTTGTCTCTAACCGAGTATTAGGCTCATTTCTATGAGCTTTCTAGGCACGCTATGACTATTGTTTCGGATGAGGGAGAGAGAGTATGCAGTTTTCTCAGAGTGTTGAATATCTCCATCATATCCTACATGTTTAGAGCATTAAGAGAGATGGATTCCCTCCAATCCATTGTGAGCATTGCCAAAGAGACATAGTTGATGGTTTAAGAGGAATTTAGGGAGCTAAAGATGGGTCATTTGTCTGGTCTAGTAGCTCCTTCTTTTGAACGTGAGAGGTTAATGCATCTTTGCTAGTAGCTTAGAGTGGGTAGTTAGCCCAATGAGCTTATGGTTCTGGCTGAGGTTGTTGGGGTAGTTCATCTAGCTCACATAAGTAATTCTCAGTGCTGAGGTCTTCTAATACTTCTAGGGATACAGATCATTTGATGTGAAAGTATCCTCTATAGACTCACATTGTACTCCAACATTCTAATTCATCTACTCTAATTAGAGATTTAGCGCCTTTGGCCAAGGATCTAGGAACCGATCAGTCTGGTAGAGGTGGCTAGACTCTTAGTAGGGGTCCTCCAACTCCACATGGTAGAAGTAGAGGTTCTACTCAGACTGCAGGTGGCCGAGAAGGCCTATTTTATGCTTTCACACGAAGGCCTGAGGTCGAAACTTCTGATGCTATGATCATAGGTTTCATCCCAGTTTGCCATCGACCAACGTCTCTATTGTTTGATCCGGGATCTACTCTCTCGTTTGTGTCTACCTATTTTGTTGTTGGGTTTTTATATATGTCTTTGTTGAATGCATATTTTTGTTTATGTTTTTACACCAGTGGGTGAATCCTTAATGATGTATTGAGTATATCATTCCTTTATTGTTTATTTTGTCGAGTATGATATTTGGGTAGACCTGATCATTCTAGGGATGGTAGATTTGACATTACCTTTACTATGGATTGGCTCTCTCCGCATCATGCTATTCTTGATTGG